GTCAGATGAAACCAAAATATAACTTTTTGGTAAAAACTCAACTAGACGTGTTTGGAGGAGAAAGAATGCTGAGTTGCATCCAAATAACACCATACCTACTGTGAAACATGGGGGTGGAAACATCATGCTTTGGGGCTGTTTTGCTGCAAAGGGACCAGGACGACTGATCCGTGTAAAGGAAAGAATGAATGGGGCCATGTATCGTGACATTTTGAGTGACAACCTCCTTCCATCAGCAAGGGCATTGAAGATGAAACGTGGCTGGGTCTTTCAGCATGACAATGATCCCAAACACACCGCCCGGGCAACAAAGGAGTGGCTTCGTAAGAAGCATTTCAAGGTCCTGGAGTGGCCTAGCCAGTCTCCAGATCTCAACCCCATAGAAAATCTTTGGAGGGAGTTGAAAGTCTGTGTTGCCCAGCGACAGCCCCAAAACATCACTGCTCTAGAGGAGATCTGCATGGAGGAATGGGCCAAAGTACCAGCAACAGTGTGTGAAAACCGTTTGACCTCTGTCATTGCCAACAAATGGTATATAACAAAGTATTGAGATGAACTTTTGTTATTGACCAAATACTTATTTTCCACCATAATTTGCAAATAAATTCTTTAAAAATCAGACAATGTTATTTTCTGGATTTTTTTTTTTCTCATTTTGTCTCTTTGTCTCTTTTGTCATCCTAGGTATACCACCTAGGATGAAAATTACAGGCCTCTCTCCTCTTTTTAAGTGGGAGAACTTGCACAATTGGTGGCTGACTAAATACTTTTTTGCCCCACTGTATTAGCTAGAAGCTAAATTAGGTTTGTCACTCAGACTTCTTGGTAACATACGCAAAATAAGTGTTTCCTACAACTATATCCTTCAAATATATGGCCTCAATTGATAAGAGAGTTTTACTTTGGTCATCACATTTTTCAAATGCACCCTAAAATGGCTTTTATATGAGGTGCTATCTATATATAGTTTTTGACACTGGAGACAAGCCAACATTAATCCTATGTTAGTTCTTGTGCACCTAACAACTGTGTGTGTGTGTTTTCTCAGGTGTGTGAGGAGGCCAGGTGTCCTAACATTGGGGAGTGCTGGGGAGGAGGAGAGTACAACACAGCCACAGCCACCATCATGGTAAGTGTCCGGGCTCACTGTGGCATCTTCATCATCTACTTTTTCATGACGGTATTAGAAGAAACGAGCTGCGGCCTTGATGACTGTGTGAATGATTTTTCAAAAATGTATGTAACTTAGGTTTTCTCTCTCTCTCTCTCTTTATATGTAGCTGATGGGAGACACGTGTACCCGGGGGTGCAGGTTCTGCTCTGTGAAGACGGCCCGGCGGCCTCCACCTCTGGACCCCAACGAGCCCTACAACACAGCCAAGGCCATCGCTGCCTGGGGACTTGACTACGTGGTCCTCACCTCCGTCGATAGAGATGGTAATGGCATCCTAACTTAATGCATTTCATTAATTATTTTCCAGGTGTTGCTTAACACTATTGCTGCTTATGAAACTTTAATTTTTCAAGGAAACAACCTGGAAGATAGGCTGATGTACAATTATTATTTATTCTGGAATTTACATTGGAATGTAATCCGGATGAATCAGTTAAACTGCTGTTTTTATAAGATTCATGTACAGGCTGGGTTTATTAGCAGTATCCTTACTAAAGTACTTTCTATTGCACTCATGTCAACAACACACACTGTGAGTCACAGACCATATAAGCTTTACTATTAATCAATTACAATTAAACATTTGTGTTTAACAACAAGTCAGCTGACTTATAAATCCACAAAATATGTTTTCAAAACATTTGTTATTTTTTCAGATTTCTCAGAATACGGCATTTCTTTGATTAGATTTAAAAAAAGGTTTACAAAAATATAAATGTCCACACAGTTTTGTCAGCAGTGATGTTCTATTAAGTCACATTTCCCTTTAATTTCCAGACATTTCTGATGGAGGGGCGGAGCACTTTGCTAAGACCGTCTCCAACCTGAAGGAGAGGTATGATCTCTCATCCTTTTTGGAATCAGATTCAACATTTTAGTTTATAAAAAATCTGTGCAAAGTGAATAAATAAGCACTTTTGTCATCCTCATCTTAGGGACTCCCGCATCCTGGTGGAATGTCTGACCCCTGATTTTCGCGGTGACCTGGCAGCAGTGGAGAAGATCGCCCTGTCAGGGTTAGATGTGTATGCCCACAATGTGGAGACCGTGCGAGAGCTGCAAAGGTACTGACTGGGCCTCAGCATGTTGCCTCTGTCATATTTACCAGTCCTTTACATATTGGCAGAAGTCAGAAGATGAGCCTCTGATCTCAGTTTTAACATTAAGAGAAGCCTGATTGCTGTGAATCCATCGGCTCTCTGATTGTAGTGCTCAGCCATCAAGCAAAACAAAAACTGAGTTTTTGAATAATGAAAACATGTTACAGATGTGTCATTATAAATTGCTTAATGAGTATTCTTGTCCTAAAAAGGAAACTATGAACTATAAACTATGTTTACAATGATGTGTGTGACACTGACAATGTGGCCCTATTATTGCATTGCATGTTATTTTTTATTTTACAATACTGGAATTGTAAAAGCTGCATTATTCATATTTCATAATTTAAAAATATTTTAATGAAGTAATAGTATTTATGTTTCTTGTCAATGCACACACTGACCAGTAGGGGGCACATCTGAGCTATTTCTGTTACTATAAATACCACTAGAACTGCAGATGTACAAAAGAGAAAAGACCCAATGGATTTGATGTTTATTGAAATTGTTAATTTACCTTTCTGATTATATATATTTCAAACAAGATGTCCATTTGTCCATCTGTTTGCAGGTTCGTGCGTGACCCCAGAGCGAACATCGACCAGTCTCTGAGTGTCCTGAGGCACGCTAAGAAGGTGAAACCCTCTGTGCTCACCAAGACATCCATCATGCTGGGACTGGGCGAGACTGACCAACAGATACACAACACCATGACTGGTGTGTACATGATTTACTTATTTACTAAATGTTGATGTTAGAAGAGCCTGGAACTTAAGATTGTCATTGTCAAAAACGACACACTCAAAGTTCTTCCTATGAAAGTAGACTGAACAATTTCCTGACTCACTGTTCTGGTGACGTTGCAGAGCTGCGAGAGGCAGAAGTGGACTGTCTCACACTGGGCCAGTACATGCAGCCCACTAAACGCCACCTAAAGGTAAAAACATCAGACTTTATGGAGTATTTCAGATTTGGTAATGATTGCACATTGTGATAACGTGTGTTTGGGTTTAGGTGGACGAATATGTGACTCCAGAGAAGTTTGCCCACTGGGAGAAGGTTGGGAATGAGATGGGCTTTGTTTACACTGCCAGCGGGCCACTGGTGCGATCCTCCTACAAAGCAGGTATGAAACACACTCCACCCTGTCTAAAAAATACCTCAATCCAGTGGCACAGGACGACATAATTACATTATAAAATAATGATAACCCCATACTGGTTTAAATAATAGTTTAATTTAAGTTATTTCCATGAAAAAATGGTAGTAAAGGCTGCTTCCAGATCTCCAAATGTGGACATTTCTTGCTTTTCCCCGTTTTATATAGTAATAAACTGAATAACTAAAGTTTTAAAAACATTACCCTGGGACTCTCTGCTTTTTAAAGACCAACGGATAATTTTAGAATTGATAATAAAAATAATATAATTGGGAAAAAATCAAGTTGAATACAAATGACTTCATGCTATGTCTTTCAGTAAGATAATGCGGTAGTATGAAATAAAAGTTAATGAAGATTTGCCTTTTCGTCATTTGGGGGAATCAAGATGATTGGAAAGGATCCTGGCTTTGATGCTTTTCAACTGTGAAACTAAAATAGATCATCTAGCCAGTGCTTTATTGCAACAGGAAACATTTATTACATTACATTGCATTTAGCTGACGCTTTTATCCAAAGCGACTTACAATAAGTGCATTCGACCAGGAAGATAAAACCTTGAAGAAAACAGAATCATATAAGTACATCAGGTTTCATAGAGCCAAACATTTCAAGTGCTACTCAACTGGCTTTAGATAAGCCAGTCCTTTATTAGTATATAAGTGCTTTGTTAATAATTCTATCGCTCAAAGTGGAGTCGAAAGAGATGAGTTTTCAGTCTGCGCCGGAAGATGTGCAAGCTTTCTGCTGTCCTGATGTCAATGGGGAGCTCATTCCACCATTTTGGAGCTAGGATAGCAAACCCACGTGTTTTTGCTGACGGGAACTTGGGTCCCCCTCGCAGTGCGGGTGCAGCGAGCTGTTTGGCTGATGCAGAGCGGAGTGCACGTGCTGGGGTGTACGGTTTAACCATGTCCTGGATGTAACTATCATTAACCGTCATGGTAAACATAATATGCGTCCAGGTGTTTGTTCATGAAGCTCGTATGGGTCACACAGAATATATATAATTTGTCATCTTTGTCTTTTATCTTTCCAGGCGAGTTCTTTCTGAAGAATCTACTGAAAAAGAGAAACACAGATATCGCCATCGGAGAATGAAAACCACCAAACCAGCAGCTGCTAGAGGCTTGACCCCTTAGTCCCTACCTATACCTACATACTTATAACAACAAAATTAGCGTATCTCCTGCTATACCATCATGAAAAACTAGTCCTAACAGCAAGTTGTGCAAGAGAATACAGCTGGTGTAGAAGTACTGAAGTGTAGAAGGACCGTTCTGTTCTTTTTTGAGCTTTTGTTCTCTCCTGTTCACCCGTAACAACTCAAGAGGTCGTACATTTTAGGGAGGGATCAAAGGGAAAGGGCAGCAGTTATCAGGCTGCAGATCTCCAGATAACCTGGGCGCAGCTTTTGTTCATGAACCGCTGCCAGGAGAAAATACGACCTGGTGTTAAGAGCTGTAATTTGCCATCTCTGTACCTCAGGGGCAGCTAAATCACATCCCCCCCCACCCCTGCCCTCAGGGGCCTGGGCTTCAGGAGCAGAGCCACTCATCTCTCACCAAGCTCTGTTAATGAGCCCTTTGATGTCCGATGCTTCTGGACACATTTAATGAAGCGGTTCTTTTGGTCGGAGGGTTTTTGCAGCGACTTAATATCTGCTTGCTGAAGATATGTACAGTAACACTGTTTTTAAAATTCTATGACATTAAAAAAAAAAGTATTTGTTTGGCCCAAATTGACCTTTTGCCAAGTACGGAAGTAAAGATACATACTTTTTCTACAATCTGTATCTGATGAAAAGACAATTTGGGCTCAAACTATACTTTTTTTAAATGTGAAAAATGTAACTTCACACGGAGAAAAAAAGTCCGTATATTTTGCAGATAAATTCTTTGGACAAAATAAACCTTTAAAATGTACATACAACTATCAGTTCACATTGTCTTGTGTCATTTATTTGTGTTCTTTCCATCAATTCTGAATAATCCAGCACACATTAAGGAGAGGTCACATTTTATTGTAGTAAAAAAGTCACTGATACAGAGGACAATACTGATTAACTTACAGTTAGATGGTTTATAAAAATTGAATTGCAATTTAGCAACAATACTTGATTACATAGTAAATGCTGTAAGAAAGTGGACGGTGCATATATAACTGCATCTAAAATGTTTTCATTGCTATTTGACTTAAAAATAAAACCGTTTATTAGCTTTATCCCCTTTCTACGGACCCAAACTCTTTTTGGGTCACATTCTCACACATTTTTTCTAAAGGCTCGACCTCCTCTCAGACCGACTGCATGGAGCAGCTGGTCACGCTCTTTCGGCCTTTTTATTTATTAAAATGAGGGGGACCTGAATGAACTGTTTAACCGGCAATAAAAAGGTTAACGGAGGAATGTGTTGGGTGTGGAGGTGAAGGGAGGTTTAGACTTTGGCTTTCTTGGTGGGAGGTTCAGGGGCGGGGATGCTGCGACAAATGGCTGCGGCGGGGGTGTAAGGAATCCGTGATGCGACCACTTTCTTACCGATGGTCTCGACCTGCAGAAAGAAAGACAGTCGTTACTTGTAGCACTCGGTTCAAAAACGTTCATTTTGATTATGTATGAGATGTGAGCAGCGTGGTGTGTGTTGTGTCCGCTCACCTGGAAGCCGATGTTCTGGAGCTGAGTGTGGAGATGGTCCAGCACTCTGCGGCCGTCAAATATAAAGGCCGGCTTCAGCATCTTCTTGTAAATCTTCTCATAGTCCAGCTCCTATGGTGGAATTAGAGGAGAAGGGTGACTTTAAGGATTTTTTTCCACCAAAGATGAAGCAGTTTATAAGATGGTAGGACTCAATGTGTGATTGTGACCTTAAACATGTCCCACTCGGTGCAGATGACCAACGCATGGGCCATCTGGCATGCCTCATACGGGTCAGTGGTCACCGTCACCAGCTCAGACACTGAAAAGAGAAATCTTTTTGTGAGCTAGGATTCAAATAAGTAACAAAAAATAAGAAGTTTTACCTTTAAAAACATTACAAATAAAACCAAATAGCTAAGGGAACTACTAAGGCTATCCTGATTTCAAACTCCCTCCTAAATTGAGTTACTAATGAATCACTCAATAATAATCATTGACCATAATGGCCAATACAAATTGCTTCAAAGGCGACTACCAACTTTTTATTATAACTGATCAATCCGCCAGATATTTCTAAATCATTCAGCCTTTTAATATGTTGGAAAAAGGAGAAACAGTAATATTTGGAACGACACCAGAGAATGATCCTCATCGTGTGCTATTGTATGATTAGCCTTCTGCACACTTCTGATTGGAACCTTATCAATCATTTATGGTTGCAATCTTTGAACTGCAAATATTGCTCAACAATTGCCCTCCGGGGGAATAAAGTTATATCTTATCTTAATCTGGCATTATTAACAATTTCAGAGGATGGAGCTGCAGATTAATTGCCATTTCTAAATGTGACTGCTCATTTTCAAAACACTTCTGAGAGTTTTTAGTTTGTGTTTCAAGTTTAAAACACTGAATACTGTGTGTTATCTCAATCTGAAGTTCCAGTCTTTGTTGCATGTATTTGTCTTTGTCTGTCTCTTTTCATTTTCTGCACACTCCCTGCTGTTTCTTATGTAAAAATAGATGAAAGGGTGCGTTTGAACCGTGGTAAATACACGCACGCACGCACGCACACAAACACACACACCTCTCTGTGGGTTGTCCTCGGAGATGTTGGGCTGCGAGAGGTCATGAATGATTTGCTCCTTGAGGACTTTGGGATCGTAGATGAACAGCTTGGCTCCCTCATCCATCAGATACTTAGAGATGTAGATACTGGACGACTCCCTGGAACACACACACACTCTAATTTAAACTCTGACCAGAGCCATAGTTCACCACAGCATGTTTGCAGTAGTGTATCATACAAACAACCCCAGGTCAATAATTAACATAACAAAGCTGTTGGAAAGAAATATGAAATAACTGGGAGTTGTCAAATGTCTACAAGGGTGTGAGAAAGTCATTACAAATTAATCGGCACTAACCTTGTGTCACCCGTGTCTTTTTTGAAGGAGAAGCCCAGCAAAGCAATCTTTTTTCCAGTAACGGTGTTGAAGAGGCAGTCAATGATCCTGCAGGCAAACCTCCGCCTTTGGTACTCGTTCATGTCGATCACCTGGAGACATCATAAATAAAGCAATAAACCACTAGAAGATGTTGTTTACAAGGATTTGAGAACATTTAGTGACCTAAAGTAAGTTACTTTAAACTTTTATAGAGTGGGTTATTAAACATACCTGGCAGTATTTAATTAAAAAAACACACAGCAACATAGATATAAAATGTATTTTATTTTACCTTTATTTAACCAGGATAGGTCTCATTGAGATTACAAATCTCTTTTTCAAGAGAGTCCTGGCCCAAGAATGAAAGTATTGATGATAAAAAAACAACTTTTCCGCCACGCATTGTAGTATTGCAGCGACATTAATTGCGCGGTAGTAAGTAGCAAGGACATAGCATCAAGCAGCGGCTGAAAAGTACAGAAACCAGGGATACATTTTCCTTTTTTTTGTACAGTGTCATGAGAGACGGAGAGCCAAGTTCAGCCTAATTTTGGTGGTTCAGATATTTTTGGCACACCAGGCGCGAACGGACCGAATTCTCTGTTCACGCGATGTTAGCTTTTTTTCTTAGCTTGTACAGTTCCTACAAAATAGCGGTTCTCACCTGCTGCCAGTAGGAGGCGACCTCAGGCAGGTTGAGGACCTCGCACAGGTAAACCAGATTCAGCACATCCTTCTGGAAACAGCTTCCACCAAAACCTGGCCAGGGTGTTAGAAAAACAAAGAGACAGAAAGCAACACTTAATCTGAGTTTAAATTAATCAGACTTTAGATAGACGATCACTTTAAACCTGGCTGAGTTTCTTACCTATGCTGGCTTTCAGAAACTTGCTCCCTATCCTCTGGTCCATCCCGATGGCCTTGGCCACCTCCTCCACGTCGGCCCCGGTGGCCTCGCACAGAGCGCTGATGCTGTTGATGCTGCTGATCCGCTGGGCCAGGAAGGCATTGGCTGCCTACACAAGCAAACACCAGGTTTTTCTTTCAGATTGTTCATGCGAAAATGACATAATAATAGAGGAAACTCCAAATAATATAAAGTAAACAATTCAATTAGGTCACTTTTGGCTCATTTATCACTATGCCTCTGTTACGCATCCTACACACGGTTCCGTTGCGAGCTTCAACGGAGACGCTTCCCATTCACTTTGAATGGGGTGACGTCATGCTTTGCCGAACTGAATTGTGGTTCCGTTGCTTCGCTTTGCCTCCGTTGCTCGCGGTGAAAGTTGAGAAAAGTTACACTTTTCAAGCGTTGAAGGAAGCGCCAGCCAATCAAATAATATGCCACAAGTGCTAGCCAATCAAAAGCGCTCTTTGTGTGTCCAGGGCGGGAGATTAATGTGATCGGTTGTTGTTCGTTAACCCCAAGCGCCAGACACGCCCACCGGCAAGCGTCAACGCGACGGAACCGCATGTAGGTTGTGTTACTGATTGTTGGCCCCATAGTGCAAGTAATTTAAAATATATGGCCTGAGAAAGGACAAAAAAGCATTTTTCACTATTTTCTTGACAAAAGAATAAAGTAATTTAATAAAAATTTAACTTTTTTTTTTTGGTCAGTTGCCGCCCTACACTCACCAGTTTGGACAGCTCGGACGACCATGTGTTGGTGGTGATGATGCGATCTTTAGGGACCCAGTGTTCATAGACGGCACACAGCGCTTTAATTGCCCTCTGACCTTCAGCTGTTTCGTCTCCACCAATCAGGACACGGTCTGGGTCCTTCAGATCCCGCACTGCTGTTCCTTCTGCAAGGAACTCTGGGTTGGAAAGCACCTAAAGCAGCGGAATGAGAACTTAAAAAACTTGCAGATCAACGGATACAGAGTTGAATTCTCAGACAATATTTCACACCTGTAGGTTGAGGCTCGGCTTGGTGTTGGCATCAAATATCCGACGAATGCTCTCAGCCGCTCGAACAGGGACGGTGCTCTTCTCTGTGACGATCTTGTAGCCATCAGACTGCTCGACTATCCGCCGAGCACACGCCTCGATGAACTTAAGGT